GGTTTTACAAACGGGAAGTGCAAGTTTATGGAAGCTTGTCAATCACTTCATATGAATCAGTTATCAACCAATCAGAGCACTGCGTCCAAATATTGGACGCATGCACCGAATCATCAAAGGGATCCTTGCAGGCTCTCTTTCCCCAGTGAGCCTGCTCGCAGGCTACTTAAAATGTAACTTCACTAACACATTGAGCTCAGTGTGTCAGTGGTACGAAATGCCTGCAACACCCGAAAATCTGCCGATCTGCGGGCTTGCAAAAACAAAACAAAGCGAAACAAGAGTAAAATGGCGACGTGTTCAACATTTAGTTGGGATAGATTGTTCATTCGGGCCCTTCATGTCTCTTTAACGACTTTTGTTATAACCGTTCTTATTCTTAAAGATACCGGTGAGTCTTCTAATCGATCCAACAGTAAATATCATCTGTTTGACAAGCTGTGATGGCGAAAAGTCAACAGCCTTTCAAGTTTCAACTTTTTAAATAGAACATATCTTCACTTCTAAAGAATCTTGTTGGTAGGATAATAGCTAGTTCATGTGCATTTCACCTCTGTGACTGAGGTTTGATTCTTGTATTGGTTTTGTCCTACTGAACTCGTTCCATATTTAATAGTTCAGTAAAAGCTAAACTAACTTTATTTATACTATGTTCATTCTAGAGGTCAAGTGAAGTCTATCATCTATAATTTTGGCTAATATGTGCCCTGTGTACTTTGACTGTTGTGATATAATGACTTTGCCTTTATAAGTACTAACCCTTTAAATGGCAATGTGCCCAGATGCACCCTATTTTATAATTTTACTCTGTCTAAGGGCCTGTTTACATGGAGGTAGGGTGACCCTATCAGGAGGGTTACCCTAGCAAGCGGGTCAGAAAATAGCGAGCGTTTACATGAGGTAGGGTGACCCTACTGCTAGGGCTATGTTGCCGGATAGGGTAACCCTACCTATGCGTGGTCGCTAAGCGGTCGGTATTAGATAAATGGCGCCGAAACGCAAAGTTTCAGCGGCAAGTTGTGTAATGCTATTTATTGGGCCTTTGCATGCTTGCTGCATTTCAATGTTGTGGTCTGTTATTTCAATATCGTGGTCTGTTATTTCAATTCAATGTTGTGGTCTATTACTCGCATTGCGTAAATAAGCGTAATGTATTCCTTGATAAAGTCCAACACAACAGTTTTTCGACATGTTCGGCTGACCAAGAGCATTTTGTTTTTTTGACATCGATGAGGATGCGCCGGAATTTTGCTTCCTTTTTGCCGTCTTTGACAATTTGTTATCGAAACTACATCATTCGCAGCGTTCTCGTCCAAAGTCAAAGCTTCGTTCTATGCCTCTGCTTCCTTATTTGTAAATTGCTTATCCTTTTTATTTTCTGGTGTCGTTTAAAATGCTCGCCAGGCTGATATGTTCATATCAGGGTTCATATGTATAATCTAGCGACGCCATATCCTTGTTTGTCTGTCACAGTAGGACGTATAAAACATGACCCGCTTGCTAGGGTAACCCTACCTGACGCGTTTACATGGCTTATGTAAACAAAAAGATAGCCCTGCTGCTAGGGTCACCCTATCTGTTTGATAGGGTAACCCTACCCCTAGGGTAACCCTAGCGCGCATGTAAACGCTTCCTATAAAACATATTGAAGTAGGGTAACCCGCTTGCTAGGGTAACCCTTCTGCTAGGGTCACCCTATCTCCATGTAAACAGGCCCTAAAAGTCGAAAAGACGGAAGCACAGATTTTGCATTGCGTTTGGTGTCCAACGGTGTCGAGGGTTAACTGGTCAGAAATTGGCGGCAAGTAGAGGCATAATGATACAGTCACAGGCATACCGCAGGCATATGTGAACCAGGCTTAACAATTATAAGCCCAGTTTACACTACGCTCAAGTTTTGGTACCGTACCACTTTTTTGGTTCTTGGACTATTTAAATTGGTAGTCCAAGAACCAAAAAAGTGGTACGGGTACCAATTTTATCCATGTCGTACCAAAAATTGAGCGTAGTGTAAACGGAGCTTTAATATACAACTTGTTTTGTATGTTGCTTAGGTGCATTTTGATATTGTAGCAGTTCAATCTTATTAGCGCCTTTCAATCTGTCAAGATTACTATTTAGTAATCAATTTAATTTTTAACAAGTAATTAGTCATTACGTTGGAAGGAATCGAAAGTATGATGAACTGCATATACGTAATAAACTATGGAAACTACGATTATAGGAACTAAAAAAGCCGGTGAAATATTTTGTGGGACACGATAAAGGCAAGAGATTAAAAATGAGTAGGAAAGAATCAAAAAATTGGGGACGCCCCTTGTCACATGTTTTTCAGTTTGAACAAAAATTATTCCCACGTTTTCCCGCCAAAATATAATACAATCTTTTTTGGCAATAGGATGCACAGAATGTATTAATCAATCTTGTAATAGCCAATCAGATCGTGAGAGTAACCGGTAAACTTGTCCAATCAAAGTAAAGCAGAAAATAAAGTATATCATGTTCATCTGCGGTTGAATTCTCAATATATAATTATAAGTATAGAGCTAGGCTTTCCAAAGTCCTTTCCACACCCTTCTATGACAACACGAACGGCATGAGTAACGTTAAAAGGCTGGGTCAAGAATGTTGGTTGGTTGATAATGTCAAATTCGCTTCCGGTCAACGTTCGTGTTGTCAAAGACCTCGCTTGCTTTATAAGCTCGCTATTGAACCAAGCAGTGCTTATATAATCTTGCGAATTAGATATGTACAAATAGCACGATTCTGTATGGGGCCTCTCTCCTCCGCAGAGGTTTCAATGAGCTTTACATGGCGCTTTACATGACGCTTACCGTATTGAACCGCTGTGTGGAAGACGCGCAGGCGAAAAAAGCACAAAGCCAAGACAGAAACCTCTGCGGAGGAGAGAGGTATGGGGCGGCCATAAGCATCCCAGCGGGCAAAATGACGTTTATCCAACGTTGAATCAACGTTGGAAATTAATGACCTTCCAGACGTTGGATAGACGTTGAAAAAGGGTTGACTATGCAAATTGGATCGACGTTACTGTTTCGATGTTGAAACAACGTTGAAATTAGGTTGCCAATCTCGTCAACCATAATTCAACGTTGAATCCACGTTAAAACAACGTTGAGATTGGTTCACAAATCGACGTCGTACGTTTAACCATGAATGAACGTTAATTCAACGTCTGTTGGCTGCTGTTGAACCAATGTTTGTAAAACAACGTCAGAGCAACGTAGATATTAGGTTGTCGACGTCGCAACCTTTTTCCCACCAAATTTCAACGTTGAAACAACGTCGTGTGCCCGGTGGGATGCATCTAACTGGTAAGACTATTTGCAGCAGCATGGGTACTTATTTTTCAGCATATAGGTATTACTGCGCTCCCTAGTTCCGGTGAAAAAAATCCAGAGGACACAGACAAGTATTTATAGACAGGTGTTGTAGGACAGTCATTGAATAAAAATAACAAGTCCTGATTTCCAACCTCAATAAGCGACAAAGGAGGAAATACACGCTTCCGCAAAGTGGATTGAGATATCGGCTTTAGAGCCATTTATCTTTTTAGACCTTTTTATATATGATGACACATTTACCAAATCATGCAGTCAAATTAAATTAAATTCATGATAATTAAGTCACCGGTAGCAAGATAAAGGGCTCTAAAGCCGATATCTCAATCCAGAAAACGTGGATATATACCCAAGGCTAAGTACTTTCCGAAACTTCGGAAGGATATGTATTACAAGCTCACAGCATGGCGTCGACATTCAGCAATTGATTTGTAGTCACATCTTGCTTGGCTGACAAGTGGTTTAGCTGAGTGACTTTCGCCATTTTCGTGGCAAATGTTTAAAGAGAGATTAAAATGTATACAGCAACAATTAGCCGTCAAATTTCTCTGAAGTTGGCTTCAATAAGGCACCAAATAAGCGCTTAATAGAATTCGGAAGGCCACTGAATTTTTGGCGAAAAAATACGATATTAATTAAGGTCAGGTAACCTCTTCGGATAAGTGAATAGCGAGGTCTATGACTATGTGTCTTCTCGGCAGTATTGACTATTGTTATATGAACACTTTTAAACTAAATAATCAAACCTATAATATGCGTTCCACGCATAGCCATACTACGTGGCGTATTTTGCGTTTTAGAGTGTACTAATAGTTAAGCATCACGTTTGCGGGAACGGCAATTACCAAACGGCATTTTGTTTAGTTGACCGCCGAGAATTTTTGCCCTTAACCTCTTCGCTTCATCTTCTCGTTCTTATCTCAAAAGAATCATCATATAGAGTTTATTTCCCATTTATTAACTTGTAGCGTAAATTTTTTCTTCCCCTGGCGTACGTTGCCATTTGACGTTTGAACGCGCGAAGCTTTATATAAACTCCCTAATATCCATTAGCATGGCTTTGCGTCTTGATGCAGTGAGTGATGCATTTGCATGCAGCCGTGCAGACAGCAACAAAATCAGTTATATATTGTTTATTTTCTATAACAAACTATATTACATACTAAGAAGGATCGCGCTTTAAAACACAGCGCCCTGCTTTAACCGACAATAAATAAACCGAAAAAAAGGGACAATTCATATACAACTACAAGGTTCGTTTGTAGTAGCTATACTGTATGTGCTTGATCGGCTGAATTATTATTCCGCAAAGCAGATTAAGGCGTAAAACTTCGAGTACCTATCGTTAAATTTTAGAGAGAAACTCTCAATAAGTTTACTTTTTATTGGTTTAAAAGTGCTCAATAGTCATATAACAATACTGCCGAGAAGACACATAGACCTCGCTATTTCCTTATCCGAAGCGGATATATTTTTTTTATTTTTTCACCCTCGACATTTAGCAATCGACATTTAATCCTCGACTTTTTACCCTCGACTTTTTACTCTCACCCTCGACTTTTTACCCTCACCCTCGACTTTTAACACTCGACTAATAGATAAACTCGCTCTTATGCGGCTTTTACTCTGACCTCTGTCTATACTCTGTGATTTTCACGCTCTGTTAATTAAAATAAATCAGCTGAATCTTAAAACTATACGATAGATTGATGATGTTGTTTGAAGCTGTCTAAGAGGAAGGAAGAGCCATCTTTTCAAAATTGAATAATGTTTCATCGATGCGTCTCAACGCTTCAAAGAAAGACATCTCATTTGGGTTACTTATTAAAAGGCCTTCCAAGAATACGAGGTTTTCGTCTGCGCGAAGCTGGGTTTTAATTTCGCTGAATACTCCAAATGGTAGAATTATCTTACCACGATTTTTGGCGTATAAGAGCTCTGCTGTGCAGTACTCGCTCTTGAAATATTCCTCGTTCAGCCAAGCAACAAAACAATCGCAATTGTCGATCGATGTTTTCAAAGCTTGCTGCAGATGTGCTCCCATGGGCATATTGGATTCGTCTATCCATGTCGAATACCCGAGAAACGTTAGCCCATCTTCAAATGTACGCATGACAGGCTTGTCCTTTGCTTTGTGGCTGAGGAAAAACCGAAATTGTGGTGCAAATTTCGTATACTTGATTTTCTTTGTTATCAGTGGCACGACGTTTGTTTCTAAATAATCTTTGAGTTTCTTGTTAGACGCGCATACCTGAAGACGTTTTAACTGGATGGTATTAACAAGCTTATCCTCAATATGAAACGACACACGATCTTTCTTAGTTTTAATGCGCAAATAGTGACATTTTTCTATTTCTAGAGTCGAAATAATAGAAATATCGCCTGTCGAGTTGTACTTGAAATTCGCCACAATGTCTTTCTCCAGCTCGTAGTCAAACTTAAATTTTAGCACCGCTGAACCGCTGCTTCCGTCAAGTCCACGATTTTCTAGTATCACGATATTGCTCTCGTTCAGTGATGTGGTTAAACGTTCCACTTGAATTTTAGAAAAATCCATTGCTAAAGTTGTATTATGTCCGATTTATTGCTCATTAATGAAATGAAACAGCAACCAAATTCTAAGTACAGTATGCTGCAGCTGTTGTGCGGAAATACAATACAATATTACAAGGAAATCATTAACATATTAACCATAATGCTTTGAAGCATATATATAGGCATTGTTTCATTCTATCTTTATAGCGATGTATTCAATATCCAATATCCACTTCCTCTTCCGAATATAACTGATTACAGCGTGACAAGGATTTGCATATAATTACGGTATGAAATTGCTGTCTATAATATCTGAGTTGAAAATGAAAACGTTCTCAAGTGTGTATATTTCATAATTTCCATACCCAGCGCAAGCAGAAAGATATTGTCTGCCGCTACTGGGTCTTGAACCCGCGACCTTCGAATTACTAGATCGACGCTCTACCAACTGAGCTATACGGTCAAACGGATTTACGACTAGAAATTATGAACTATACTGAATGTCATAAACATACTCGTTTTATAATAAAGCCTGGTTCACATAAAATCGTTAAGCAGTCGCAGACAGTCGCAGACATGTGCCGAATTTTTATATGAACACAAATGCAGATTCGCACAGACTGTCTGAGACCGGATCGGCGACGGATCGGTAAAGTTGAACCAAGTTCAACTTTCCCGATCCGTCGCAGATCGTTCATATAAAAATTCGGCACATGTCTGCGACTGTCTGCGACTGCTTAACGATTTTATGTGAACCAGGCTTTATTCAGCATCGAACCATACTGGTTCTGCAAGTGTTATGTTATATTCTGTTATTATGATAAGTCGACAAAGTCAGTAGTTTTGATGATTTGCAGTTAGAGGAACTATAGCTTGTTTTTTGTTCATTGTTTTTTATCTTCATATAATGATAATCTTTGCAAAATAAATCATTCATTTTATATATGGGTTTGTGTATAATGTAATGTAGATTTGTCACTAGTATTAGTTTTATTTGTGTATCTGTATTAGTGAGTTTTATGTGTGTATGTGATACATACCAAATTTGGTATTTATGTGGATTAAATATTATTATTATTTCACATTGCATCATGATGCCATCCATATCTGCGCTTTGCGCGGAAATTAATTCGAACTCCAAACCTTACTCTCTACATAGTCTCTATACACATAACCCAGATCCTAACACTAACCCTAATACAATAAATATGGCTTTTATTCGGAAGAAAATAAGGTTTATCAGAATATCAGTCCGTGCTAACACTAAAGCGAACTCTGAATTCATTTTGCCAGTGAGCCGTTCATTGCAAACTTTCACACCATTTCACTGCCTCCTATCACTAATCAGTGGCATATATAGATCAGTGGTTATATAGGAAAATGATCACAAGGCCGATTTGGACTACAGTCTACACAACTTTTGCCTAAAACCATGGGCGTACCGGAAGGAAAAATTTAGGGGGGCGGAAAGAAATTTGCTCGACTTTTCCGGATTTTGCCCGACAAGTACCGAAAAAATTTTTCCGGAATTTATTTTGGCGAATTCCCCC